GTGGCAATAGATGCAGCGGATAAGACGTTAGCTTGAGAGCGAACCGTAATCAAGTTAGAAAGGATAGGAATCCTTTGAGCACTGAATTGCCCGCCCTGTATAACGGGCGTAGAAAATTATTCTGTGTTATCGTGCGGGCTTAGACAGAAAGCCGCCTCCTAGTCCATACCTTCTTTCACCGCCTTAGGAGGAGGACTGCCCTATTGAGGAATGTGCTGTGGCTCCCGAGTGTGGGACCTCACTCCCCAGCAGCGAGTGCGGTAAAATAGAAGTCGCAGGTGGGATGGCACATGCGTCATTAGCACCACGACCCGACACAAATGTAGCAGTGTTTCGATGCACTCCCTCTCTCCTTCCACTTTCTCGAGATCTCTCTGTGCCTTCTCTGCCGCATATCCGCAGCTGGGAATTAACGTTCTACAGCCGTGACTCCTTGTACTCATCCTTCTACTGCGAGATGAGGCTTCAAGCTGACGCCCACCCTGGAAAAAAATACCCAAGCTTGAAGATTACACTCATGGTTAGGCAAGAATGATTCTAGCGGTGTTAAGATTGATCTGTACGGGCTGTATCATAGTAGGAGTAGTGAACCGAGTCCAATGACGGGCTCATCATCGTCGAAGAATCCTCGACAAAGAGAGAGGGCTGTCACATGACAGTTGCTGAAAAGGAAGACCGATTTTGGCCCGTGTTGAATTTTTCAAGTTCAGTAGCTTTGTGGCCAGTGGTATTACAGCTTTAATACTGTCGATAGTGAATCAACGGTCCCTTTATCTGCCCTCTGCTCGACGAATATTAGGAGTATGGTCATATGTCAAGGGTTTTCTCTACCGGAGTAATGTGTTCTGTTCAAGAAAGGCCCATAATGCATTGCCGACAATTCCCTTCCTACCCCATACAACTATGAAATTCCTCGTGAATGAGAAAGATAGGTAGGATCGATTTCCGAAGTCAGTAGAATTATTGAAACGCTAAACATTTTTTTCAGCTCGGATTGCATATTGCGAGAAGTTTCTCATGGCAATGTGAAAGTGAGTCGCTTTTTATTAACAAACATTTTTGTCATGATTTGTAGTGGTTATTAGTGATTCATGCCTCTCCTCGATCTTTATATTCTTCGCTTTTCAAATCGACAGGGGCTACTCAACTATTACTAGTTTAAAACCATTTTTTGCTGAAACTCACTATAGAGGTTATTCAGTGCTATGGTCACTACTGTGATTTTGAGAGCTGGCGCCAACAGGCACCAATTTTGCCCCATCACCTTATCAGCGAAGTCGATATGATCTTACATACCAGGATTATTCGATGTCCTGAAGCGAGTGCGATACTGGTTTACAA